ATTGTCATTGGATAATTGGTTGAACAGGATTTGAAATCTACTGGATAATGGATCCAAGGGTGGGAATTGCCGTAGTCAACACACACTCCATACAGTATTTTGACATCAGAAACCACAGAACACAAATATATCTGAAAGTTACAAATATAGAAGTAGAGAAAGTACAAGTACTGCATCCATCAAATGTGATAAATTAGAGAAAACATGACAAAGTCAGTTCTTCATTGAGGCTAAAGGTCTCCACCGTGTTGAGAGTATGAATCCAGTATCTGCACAGCATTGACTTGATGATGTATCCAGCTCCAGGGGAGGGTGAAGTTTTTCCCCAGAACTTTAATGACGCAGCAGAGCCATGCCGTGTTCAGATATGCAATTCTTTAAAGCTATTTTAGTTTGTCCACCAGACCGAGAAACATTGTTGCAAGTAGTCAACACGTGTGCTGCTGCAAGTTTATATGGGATTTTATGGTGTATTTTTTCTAGTAAATGGATGTGTAAAGTACTTGGTGTCTGGCGAGTTAGAACATTGTGTACAGTGGCCACAGCAGAAAACGCCTGTAAGTTCATTATTGTTAGGAGGTTTTCTAGTGTCACAATGAACTGTCTCTGTCTCTCTTTGCTGTCTTCGAACTGAGAAGCACATGATTTAGCAGCATAGTGGTGGAAGATGTACAGAGAACCCTGTTTCAATTGAAAAAAGTCACATTTTGACCTGCAGGTGGCGCTGGGGGAAATGTCAGGGTGTCAACTAGGTGAGTATGTGAGATGAAGTTGGCTTCATCCTGTGGCAACGATGAATGTCAGTATAAAAATTTCACAACAATCCACCCAAAAGCATGGCTAAAAGATGCAAATGTAATTCATATTTACTGATTTTCTCCAAATGCATTCATCATACCAAACTCATGAGTTCAAACATTCAGCCAGCCATTAGGATTTCCAAAGAAAGAGTCATCTATCTGTGCTCATATCAACACTGTCCAATGCTGAAATAACATATGGGAATGCCATAACGCTGCATGGGGAGGACACTGAGGAGATTCAGTAAGCCTTTTACATCCAACTACTCCCAAGTCTTCAGCCCTGGCAGAATGCTAAACAATGATGTCAGTGCATTCCTCAGGCTTCAGAGACATTCTCCAGGCAGCACCAGGGAGCTTGAAAGGACTTCTCACAGCAATAAAGTCAGAATCCACCCAAAAAACAAGTTTTTTTTTAAAAAGTGTTATCTCTTTAAATGAAATACTGAACACTGGCATTGATGAAACCCTTGGGCATCACATTATGTCTTTTGTTCCAAGGTTTAGGGGATTCTGACCAACAGTGCCTGATAACAGTTGAATTTTGGTTTAGAAACAGCAAGTTGCTTTTTCAAATGCAATTTGACCCTAACCCTAACCCTATTCGAATATATTTGTAACCAGATACAGTACATAAAGTTAACATTAATATCTTTGGCACTTCAGTAGTTTTGGCCCTGATGTCCTACAGTTTGACTGTGATGCCAAAAATACAGAAACAAATGTGTATTTATCAAAGTGGCCTTGTCCTAAAAATGACCTAATTCCAAGCCTGTAAGCACAATTTTATTGGTGTTCCTGTTAAAAGGTGTCAGCCCTGCTGTGGTGATGTTAGTGTTTTTGTGCACGTTCTTGATGTTGGGGGAATTTCAACTGCTTCATTAGTGAAAGTGCAAACAGGTGTTTTTTGCTTTGTATCGGCCTGTCTCACCCTATGCTAACCTGAGCAGGTGGTAGGTTCCAATTAGGAGAGGCTGGTACAGTAAAAGGACAGTCATGGAGTAGGTGGCTGCAAGCTGTGAAGATGAAGGTTTTATCTGTTGATTTTTTTTTTCTTCTTCTCTTGAGCGTAAGTTTTTTTTTTTGCCTCATTTCAGTTTAGGTGCAAGCCATGAACTCCAGACAGGGACCATTGTCCCACATCCTTCTCCATCTCTCCCTATCCTTATTTTTCTTTGTCTCTCTACTTTCCAAATCCTGAACAAGGATAATAAAAATAAACAAAATAAAAATCATAACTGTCACTCTTTTTGCTCCAACTGGCAGATCAGCCTTTTCAACATCCTCTTTAAAGTTTTTCAGGACGTGACAACTTCTTATATATAGATTTCCTGTGTATTGGCTAGTAGCACTACACTGAACTTTAATCTTCTTTCAGTTCTAGTCAGCTTCTTCATTCTGTACTAGTTGCAGAGAAAGAGAAAAAATGTTGATCTTGGAGGCCTAGAGTTCCCAGATGCTGGACATGCAATTGGTCAATAATTTAAGGGGGTAAAGTTTCTGTCGAGACTCAAATCTGCTACAAAAAAACCCCAATACAAAACAATAACCATAACATATAATTGATTTAAAAACCAGTGGGACCTTTAAGATAGAATATTAAATTAAATGTCTGATCTCAAAACAGATTAATTTCAACTGAACTGCTATCTGAATCTGAGCACATTTTTCATATCAAAGTTAAATTTTTGTCAACTTTGACCTGCAAATTTGTGCTATTTACCAATAACAAGCCATGCTAACTGCTGACCTTTGATTGAAAAAGCTATCATAGCTCATTGGCTGTGTTACCCCATTAGTTGTCTGAGAATAACTGCTCCACAGAAGAGGAATAGCTTCCCGACCATTAAAAGAGGATGTGATGCTTCAAATATGTCTTTTGCATCAACTATGTGAACTTATTGTCCCGTCAGCGACCTGGCAAGCTAACTGTCAGTTAGCAAGCTTGTTAGCTTGTGAGCTTTTTGTTCCTCATCAATAACTGTATCTCATGAAATAATGTCAATTTTTGAGAGCAAAATGTCAGGGAGAAGTGAACAGGCGTGAAAATAGAAAGAAGCTCGGGGCGCAGTTGTGACTGGCTAGTGCTATGATGTCTTGCTGGCTAGCGAGTTAGCAGTTAGCTCCTCCTGCGTATAGTTGTAGAATAAATATTTCAAATGGAAGCAGAGGTTAATTTCACTGTGGCACTTTCTATTGTGACCAGGCCTTTATTCCTTTGTGTTGTTTTGAAGCTTTCTGAAAACAACAACAACATTTTTTTTTTCACCCGCATACCGAGACTGAAACAAAATGGACCGTTAGAGGCATGTTGCTACAGGTCACATTCTTTCCAGGAAGACGCAGCATCTCCAAGGCAGTGGGTCTGTTTCATGGCTGTGTCTGGTTAATGTTGCTGTTCAGCTCTGTGTCACCCTCACTTAGGCCTCAGTAACTCCACACACAGCTGATTCAAACACAGAGACAGACAGGGTAGTTCGCCTCTCCCTCTCTGCCAACTCAGTGACCTAATTTTTACTGTACAGCTGATATTCTCTCTCTTATCCACACACTCGCTGACCCCTGGCAGCTGATACCTCTCGTCCCTTCCCGGAATTTAGTGAGGTGATGAAAACAGCTGCAGAGCTGATCTCAGTCCAGACTCAAGCCTGACCAAAATTCCTTTAAATCACAGCTGAGATATTATGATTCCATGGAAACCCCTTTATCGAATTTTACCGTTAACGATGACGGTCATAACAGTGGCAGATTCATCATTGAAATTCACAGTAATTCCACAGCTTCTCATTGCCAGCTGGCGACTGTGGATTTTGTCAGCTAAAATGATGACTCTGGCTAGCAGATTTTAAAAGTTCAGCTAGCTAATGTAAGCTAATGCTAATACATTAGAACCTTACAGCAGAAGTCCATCTCCAGCTGACTTTTCAATGTATCCACCTGACATATTTTAAAATGAGAACCCTGTAAAAGGGTTAATGGCTGCGTACATGCTTGGTTAAAGCTACATCCCAGCAAGCATGGTGAAATATGACATGTATACAATAGACAACAGAAATACACCAACGTCGGAAAATAAGCGTAGGGAGTGGACTAAGTGCAGCTGACTGTGAGGCGATCTCGGCACGGCATCTTCCGACCATTCAGTGAGAGCATACAC